TCTGTCATGCTCCCCTGCTCCCATGACACTCCCTCAACTTCAGTCTAACCCACTCCTGCTTTCTTTTCAAGATGATGATCAGTTCTGACCTCAGAACCTTTGCTTATGCTGATCCCTTTGTCTGGAATGCCTGACTCCAAATAGACTCATGACTTCCTCATTTTATTCAAATCCCTCTCACATACCATTGCATTCCCCTATAACTAACTGCTTTACCCTGACTTTCCCCTTAGTGAAAAAAACTAGTGAAAAAAAAACATTTTATTATATCAGTTTATTGATACAGACTGACTATAAGCCTTATAGGACACAGTCTGTTCATGACTTAGCCACATCCACAGGGCCTAGAGTAGTATCCAGCACATAATCAATGTTCAATTGATAATGTTGGATGAATAAATTATTACTCTTACCTTTGCTGATACAGAATTTTATCATTTGCAAAGTAATCACACAAACAATATTGTAATATATCTTCTAACAATTTGTGATACTCATTTTTCAGATAAATTAAGAGAGTCTTGAATACTGGATAGATAGTACAGTGGATAGGAAATTTGTCTCACAGAGATGACCTGGGTTTGATCCTCGACTCCCCATATGGTCCCCAAACCCCACCAGGAATTATTCTTGAAGTACAGAGCAAGGAGTAGCTCTGAGCATAACTGTGGTTCAAACCTCCTCTGGCAGAGCCATAAAAGAATGAGTCCCTTAATATTTTTTGAGTTCTATGCTCAAGATTATGCAGCTGTTGGTCAAATTCTAACCTTTTCCATCAAGGTCACAAGCATAACCACAAGCATAAAATATTAATAGTAATTAATAATCTGTTAGCAAGTCTCTATGTACTTATAGTATCTTACTTAACAATCACAATAGTACTTTGTGCTAGGTGTTTTGCAACTGTTGAGAAAACAAAAACACAGCTAAGTAACCTGCACAAAGTAACAGAATTGTCTACTGGAACAGAACTCTCATTGGTTGGAGACAATCTAACGCTAGAGACTTGTTCTCAACCAGTGAGGTCTAGCTTGGGAAGTAGAAAAAACTGAGAAACTGCAGTACAAGTGTACTCAATACAAGACAAATTGAAAGTATCAATACAAGACAAATTGAAAGCATCAAATTTGTTCTAAGGTTTTCCAACATTATCAAACCTTTTGCTTCTGTACATATAAGGATCTTTTCCTTTTAAGATCTTAAGGTGGAAAGCAATTTTATCTTAAATGCAGTGTGTTTTGTCTTGTTTTCTGTTCTGAACACATCTTTGAAAAGTTTGATATATTTGTTTCTGAATTAAGAGGAATCCTAGGTGTATGCAGACAGAGGAAAGAGACTCTTTTCTGTCTCTGAGGTACCTGTGTGGCCCAGTGCCCAGACTGCCATTCTCTCTGAGTTTGGCATTCTCTTCCTCCCTGCCCATCCACGACATGTCTTGTTTCATAAATTCTCACCTTCAGTTTATCACATAACCTACATTGTGAAACACTCAATTTATTTTTCTTCCCTTTTCTTTCTTCCTTTTAAAAAAATTTCTGATGTAGGAATCTGTTTGATTGGATGTGATGGCACCAGAGGCAGAAAATGTGGCAAAATTTTAAATGGTGAGAAATCTATCTTAGCTACCAGGATTCTGAGAAGCAGAATGTGATTCTCCGACTCACTTTGTATTGAACTGGACAAGTTAGATGGACTAAAAAAGCTTTATTGACTTCTCTCCTTCTCTTGAAGTCAATCAAGTATTTGTGTATGCTGGCCTTGTGTTCTTTCTAGCTATTCCAATTATTAACTTAAAAGTGTGCAAAAATTACTTAAACATAGGAAGATAGTCTTGAAATATCAAACCCTTCAGATTTTAAATAAGCATACATTCCCAAGTTGAAAGACAAAAAAACAAAAACAAATTTTGATTATTTCTAGCTCTTTTTCACATAAAGTCTCATAGCACTGAATCAAAAAAAAAACAATAAATAGCAAGTTCCTTCAGGGCACAGTGTTCTGCACAAAGATCTGAGCTGTGTGATCTGATCTATTTCTCCAGATACCCCTAGTCTCTAATGCACAGTAGGGAATCACAGGCTAGGTACCTGACTTAGTAGACATTTAATAAATAATAAACTTAATAAAATAATAAATAATAATCATACTAATCTATATAAATAATATAGAAGGTGTTTACCTTGCAAGTAGCTGATTCCATTTCTGTCCCAGGCATCACATAGAGCCTTTAAGTGCTGCCAGGAATGATTCCTGAGCACAGAGCCAGGTAAGCCATCCTTGGGCAAGCTCTGAGCATCTCAGTGTGTGGCCTGAAAAACAAACAAAAAGATAAAATAAACAACAAACTTTTGGGACCAGAGGATATCACAGTTATGACACTTGACTTGCATGTGGCTAATCCCAGTTTGATCCCAGATACCACATAGGAGCCCTTGAGTAATGTCAGGAGTAATCCCTGAGTATAGATGATTTAGGAATCAGCCCCAAGCCTATATAGCTGGAATGATAGTACAGTGGGTAGAATACTTGTCTTGCACATGGTCAGCCTGTGTTCGATTCCTGGTATCCCATATGGTCCTCCAAGCACAGCCAGGAGTGATCCCTGAGCAGAGAACCAGGAGGAAACCCTGAGCACAGCTGGGTGTGTCCCCAAAACATATATATGTATATATATAAAAACATATATATATATACACATATAGAGAGAGAGACAGATAGATAGATAGTGATAGCACAGCAAGTAAGGCATTTGCCTTGCACGTGGCTGACCCAGGATCGATTCGTCTGCCCCTCCCAGAGAGCCTGGCAAGCTACCCGTGACGTATTCGATATGCCAAACACAGTAACAAGTGTCACAAGTTACTGGGCCCACTCGAGCAAATTGATGAACAACAGGAGGACAGTGACGGTGATATATAAATGCATATATGTATACACATATACACACACATGTATATATATGTGTGAGAGAGATGTATTATATATTGGTATGTTATATAATTCTTTCTATGAACTGACCTTACACACTTCACATGCTTATTTGTACTTATTGCCACACATGTGAGCTCTCAGAGAGTGTGTAATCTAGTTGTAGTTGTAGCACCTAAGGTAGAACCTCCAGATAGCAAGTGATAAAAAAATGAACTTTATGATCACAGAATTGAATAGCAAAAGGCTTTCCCCTTTTCCTCTTTCTTGTTTTCTTCGTCCTTCACTCGTCCTTGTTCACTTGGCTCTCAGGCCAGAGGGCTTAAAACAATCTCATCAACCTCATCAAAGACTTGAATTCATTCAAATCAAGTTCAGAATTACAGTTTTAAATTTACCCTGGTCATTTCATAAGTAGATTTAACAACTAGCTAACTGCTATCCCCAAAGGGATAGGAAAAAAGCATAAGCTTAATGAATTTGGTCAGACATATCGTGTAACAGATGTCCAACGTGCTGCCATGAGTTTAAATCATAACTATGATGGCTCTGTTTGGCATGTCAAAATATATTAGAAGTGTTTTATAGGTCACTGGGCAACTTGCTAGATTGAAGGGGAAGGATCCTGAAAAATGCAGGAGCTGTGTCTAGTTAGATCTCAAAAAGAGTCCTAGAGAAACACAGATAATCTGCTTGCAATGATTCATCAAGTTGGTCCTTTGTTTCACTAATTTGAGTGTCAAGTGCAACCATACAATAAAGAATTGCCAAGACCAGATAAGATTCTCCTCAGGCTGCTGCTTTTCCTGCCCTAACAACTGGTACTATTCATGCCTAAAGCACAAATTGAATAAATAGCTTCAAGCTGGCAATGTTGGATAGTGTTTCAAATTTTTGTTTTTTCCTTGAAAGGCTAAATCCCTGAGTCTCTAGCCTTCCCCTAAGCATGGCATTGATAGTCATTGCAGCAAGTTAGAATAATTTTAACTTTGTTAATACTCAGAATGGAAGGATGCCTCATAAGTTAAAAATAGTTCCTGTTATATCATCAGTCCAGCAATGGATTAGCAAAGATTTAAAAAAAAAAAAGATTGTAATGTCTTTTTTGGCCTTGAGAAAGCGCTTATTGTGCCTATGGTTCACTTGGCCTGCTGATCATTTTCATCTTAATGTAATCTTTAACAGTACATGGCTACAGGTGAGGTGTTAAGTAATACATTAAGACAACTATTCTCCTTGAGTAATTTCACAAGAAATATGTTTTTAACTAAATTAGATATTTAACAAATGCTATTTGCAATTAAATGCAGAGGAAAGAGTATCCATAAAACAGACTATTGCAGTAAATTTCCCTATGTAAAACAATAATTTAAAAATTTTAATTGAGGTTCTGAATGTGAAAATATGGACCGTTAGGGCAGTAGAGCAGCATATGGAGAGCACTGAAGGCCTTTGGATTCTTGGGAAATATGCAGTAAATAGTTTTATCTTTAGCAGCCAGAAATCTCTCATTAAAATTAAGAACAATCTACAGGTCCAGTTAATCACATGAGTATTATGTGCTGAATGTTTTTAAAAATTTAAAACTAGAGACCTCAATCATCTGAGAAAAATATAAATTGTAACATCTGAGAGAAGAACTGGATAGAAAAATGAGATGAAATACGATATGAAGGTTGTTTAAAAAATAAATTTTACAATTAAAATGATGGGGGTAGATAATATGAGAACGCTTATCATTGAAAAATTGAAATCATGAGTAATCTTTAGAAGACCAAGTTAGTGGCAGTTTCCCCTATTCAAGCCACACAAATGTGCATGCTCTTATTACCAGCACCTATTGACATTTGGGGCCACTGACCTGTTTTCCCCCCCAAATCGCAAAACAAAAAATTGACTTTGGAAATATCCGGATGGCTATCATGTTCAGAGTCCAATTGTGCTCTCCTTCCTTCATACTTGATGACTTCATAAAAGACAAACCCGCGGACCAAGAGGTGGGTAAGACTAGCCGCATTAACTCTCTCGCCCCAGAAATTCCACTCCGCCGAGAAGATGATTACTCGGGGGCAGGAAGGGGGGATGCAGAGGTCTCTAGGACCCAGCAGGCGGCGGCAGGCGGCAGTTGTGTAGATCACTGAGAGACTACGAGGGTCCGGCTCAGTTTTAATTCAGTGTCTAATCTCTGCAACAGCGGCGCTTCCTGGGTCCCGCGGCTCTCCGGCTCAGTGAGCCCCGGCTGGCCGCCAGGCGAGCACCAGAGCCGCCCCTCCTGCCCCCTCACCCACCATGGAAACCCTCCAAGAAAAAGTGGCCCCGGACGCGCGTGTCTGAGGATTCTGCACAAAAGCGGTGCCCAAAATGAAGACCCTGATGGTGAGTCATTTGTTGCAACTCCTCCGGGCAAAGGCGGGGACCCTCGAGCGCCGCGTCCCCGGGGGCGCACGGGGGAGCTCCAGGGACGCTTAACCCCGCGTCGCCAGGTCGCCTGTTTCAAAGGGACAACTTTCCACCTGCTCCGCGTTCCCTCCCGAATCCCCGGCTCTGCCTCGCTCTGGAACTGCGGAGCCGAGGTGGAAACTCGGGTTTGCAAGCGCTCCTGGATCTCCGACGAGAGGTCCGCGGTGGGCAGCGTGGAGAGCTGGATACGCGGCGGAGGGTGGGCACTTTGCCCGGGGAGAGGGTTGGGGGTGGGGGGTTGGGGGGGTGGAGAGGATGGCCAAAAGCCACAGCCTGGCAGAAACTAAGAGGGGCGGGGAGAGAAGGACCTTGGCAGACTTTCTTGGTTACCTTGGCAAATTTCAAACTTGCAAGGATCGCCGAGGTAGAACCCCAACTGATGCAATAATAATAATAATAATAATAATAATAATAATAATAATAATAAACAGATCGAGAAAGAAAGCGGAAAAGGTCTAGCGATTCCGGGGTTAGAGGATCCCCCGTCACCCCGCCAAGTGCGAGCCCTCCACTGCCCGGGTCGCCGCTCGCCACGCACCACCTGCCCCCTGCCGAGGCATCTGGGAGGCGGCCGTGACCCGGAGCGGCGAGGAGCCGGGAGTGTCCCCTGCGGTACGCGCGGGCAACCGCGCCTCCTGCGCCCGGGCTGAGCGCGGCTGAGACTGGGACCCGGGTGATCGTCTGCCGCCTCCGGCGTGGGTATCCCCGCGGGGCGCTCTCGGGCCGGGTGGACTCTCAGGTTCTGCTCTCTCTCTCTCTCCCCCACCCCCCACCCCGCCCGCAGCGCCATGGTCTGGCAGTGTGTTTAGCGCTCACCACCATGTGCACCAGCTTGTTGCTCGTGTACAGCAGCCTCGGCGGCCAGAAGGAGCGGCCGCAGCAGCAGCAGCAACAGCAGCAGCAGCAGCAGCGGCAGCAACAGCAGCAACAACAGCAGCAGCAGCAACAACAGCAGCAGCACCAGCAGCAGACGGCAGCGACCGGCCACACGCAGCCCTCGGTCGACAGCAGCCCCCAGCCGCGCCCCGGGCCGCCCGCGGCTCCGCGGCCGCTGGATGGATACCTCGGCGTAGCGGACCACAAGGTGACACTCGCTCGCCGGGCACCCAGCCTGGGGATCCCGCACACCTGAGCGGGGAGGCGTCGTGAGTAGGTGCCCTTTGGAGGCTGGAAGGGGGAGAGCACCCGCTGGTGTGTGCATTGGGATAGTTCTTACCTGTCTAAAGAAGGATGCAAAGTTTTTAGCGCCCGCAACCTCTGCGCCCCCCGCCCCCGGCCCCGACTCCACTTCTCCCTTCTCCCCCGGGGAATAAGGATGAGATGGCAAGATTCCAAAACCTAATTTTCCTAACTGAAAACGATCCTGAATCTGGAACACCCCGAATCCCAGAATTTCAGCTACCAGTGGGTGCCAGGTTCCTGATGTCTCGGTTAGGTGCCTAGCTGTGCCCTGATGCGCCCACCGAGGTCAAGGGGAGTTGATACTGGCCAGGGCGGAGCGGGAAAGCCTAGAGGAGTAGGAGCCAACACTCAGGCTTCAAGATTCTCCTGTGATCTCTGCTTGAGATTGTTCTATTGCTCTGAGCCGAAGTACTGCCCTGGGGAGTGGCACCCAGGCAGGCGCAGAAGGCCTGAGCACAAACTCAGCTTTCGTTGGTTTGAAATTAATCGCTGAGAGCCTGATTCCCTCTGCCTTCCAGAAAGCCGCTGCCTGGCTTAACTATTAATTAATAAGATGATTTTTTTTCTAATTGAGTCTTCTTTCCCTGGAACAATAAATGCCTGCTTTCAATGTGTGAAGCCTTTGGGAGTTTTCTAATCTACTTTTCTGATTCTGGAAAGATGTTTTTAACACAGTTTAAAGGTATTCCACATTATTTGAAGCTGTTAATATAGTTTTGTTAAAGCACAATCCCTTTCTGCGTCTGCTCTATAGAGCTAGAGAATTGCAACCGCCCAACTAATAAACTTTTATAATATTTAAATTTAAAGTAATAGTTGGTAGGTTCTTGTTTCTGGGAAGATTTTCTCTCACCGTGCATAAAAGTCAAGCTTTTTTGTTTGTTAAGTGGCAATTAAAATATTGCCACTCGTGCAATGTGTAGTAATGCTAAGGATTTCAGAAATTCCAACCAAATTTAAGTCAGAACCCAGTATTTAGGGATCTTTGAATGCCTGGGAGAGGAAGTGCATACTTCAAAATATGGATAGACAGTTGGCTAGCTAGAGAGCAAGACAAATGTAGAAGGAATGATAACATCTGCGCTAAAGTACTAACAGTACTACTGCTCTGGTAGATAGCTGCAGAAGATCAGGAAGGATTGAGGAAAGTTTCTTTGAATTTGCAGAACTAGCACTGGAAAGGTAGTCAGGAAAGAGGAAGCTTTCATTAGGAATTTTCTGATATGTGGGGGACACGAGTAACCTAAAATACCCAAGGTACTGAGAGCCTTCAGTCTTAAAACTACAGCTTCAGTTTTTCTCTGTAAGTCGTTGATTTCCTTTGTATTTGTATGTGCAAGCTACCTTGGAATCTAGAGTTCTAGGAAAGTTTAGACACTGGATTCTGAGTGAAAGTATGTGATATTTGTAGCTACTATGATACATATATTTCATTCTGGTGGTTTTTGTGGCTGTTGTTTTGTTGATATTACTATCTAGCATCTGTAAAGCTTTGATTAATATAGGATATCAGAAGGTAAATTTGCTGAAAGCTTTGATCTGCCTTTGGGAATGTATTTCCAATATTTTCCTTTCTGTGCTCTCCTGATGTACAGAAACCAAGAATATTGATATCCTAGAGCAAAATACAATGCCCTTACTTCCATCCTCAAAACTATTTATTTTGTAATCCATTTTGAGATATCAGAGCTCTTTTAATTAAAAAATACAGCCCTTTGGGGGGAAGGAATGTTGAAGTGCTGAGAAATGAAGATAATCTGTAGTAAAAAATGATTTTATAAACTGTGTTTTGTGAATGAGAACTATGTGTGAATGTTCTTGGAATTCACAAATGTGAGTAGGAAGGTCTTTGAAGATAATTAATGCTAATGAAATATTGTCACAGCAAACCAACATCACACAAAATTGATGGAATTTAGCCCCATCTGGAGCAAAGGAACCAATGCAGATTTTAAAAATCTATGCCTTTTCTCTAGATATTACCTCAATTGTCCCACTGAACTTCAGCCCAAAATGCAGTCATTGACTCTCTGTACTATTTTTTAGCCAATTGGAAAAATTTTACAGTCCCATTCCTGATTGCTTTCTGGAGGTACATGTGTGAAAGTTTCTGTTCTCTCCAAATGCTGCTATTTAGATAGATTGATTTATGGTCTTCCTATTCTCCAACTTGAGCAGAGATTGAAAGCTTTTGTAGGCTTTTGAAAAATTTGCTAGGAAATCTTTTCCAATTAACATAAGGGCGGGTAAGAAAAGGAAGCTTTTCCATTCTATTATGTTGCCAGATGATACTCTGATTGCTTATGTTTTTTGCACTCTCTCATCAGGCCTTAGACAAATTATAGGATGTGCTGAATGTGATGACCACCAAGCCATATGCTGGTGCATATTGAATCAGAATTCCAACAGACTTTTTATTTGCTGTTGATTTACAGAGTCTGGAGTGTGGTACAGATAGCATTTAGGAAAATGGTCACATCTCCATGGCTAGAGGTCCCAAAGTGTGATAAATATGTAGTGTTTATTTCAGTTACATGATGGCATTAACATTATAGCTCCAAGATTAAATTCAACAGGTGGTCCTAATCCCAGCACCTGAATCTCACAAATTACAGCCTGTCTACAATGATAGTCTTGTCTCCTAGGGCTGCAGCCTGAATTACTGGAAGATTAAATCACTATGTACTTTTGTTGATAGACATGCTGCAAGTCAAGTCAGTGATAAGAAATATGTGTTGAAGCCTAAAATATCACTTTTAATGGTCACATTTCCTTTTCCCTCATTCACAAATGATATTAGCTGAAATTGTAATTCATAGTGACCAGGCGAAGGCTACTTGGAGTTTCTTGTGTTAGAAAAGGCTCTTTATTTTCTCTTAAATTGTCTTTCTTCAGTCTACCTTGTTTGCCCAGACAATTCCCCACAAAAGTTCACCAACTCATTTACATCCGGTTACGTGTCTGTCACTGCAGCTATTATGGCTGGATCCTGGCATTACTCCCAGTTGCTACGAGTTGAAATCCTGGATTTCAAACCAATCAGCCAGATAGGCAAAATGACTTTGAGAACCTTCTGTGTTGAACTATGTAGCATACCATATAATCAAACTAAAGACACACAAAGACACACACAGACATACACACACACAAACACACACACACACTACATCAAGTAAACCTCAGAGAAAAGTTTCAAGTCTCCCAGTTTCTAGAATCTGGTCTGGTTAGATAAAGTCATTTGCCATCTGTTAGACTCTGAAATGAAACTGTGAGCTGATTCCCATTTCCAATGGCTAGGAGCCCTTATCTCCGAAGGAGCCTACTCTGCTCTGGGCTGCACTATCCTGAGATTGCTTATGAAAGGACAGTGATCAATGGGTCTGAAGCTGACCAGCTATCTGCTTGATTTCATAGGAGCCCGGGGGAATGTATTTTACACATTTCAGTAACCTGTTCATCTTTAGTTCTTTCCGCCTTTACCCACTATATTATTAAGAGAAGACAAAAGTGTTTAGAGGTAACAGTACTATTATTAATTTGTACACATCCAAGAGAGGTGATTAAGTTGGTAATAATTCTAAACCTGAAGGAAAGTGCACTATGCTATAACTTCCCTTAGAATTACGCCATGCATATTATTCCATCAACAAAACATATAGATTCTGAAATGAACATTTACACTCTTAATTAAGCCCTCTTTTAGGGTATTTCAATAATCCAGTAAATAATAAATATTTTGGACCTGAAGAAATTCAAAATGAGCTAAGTTAGTGCTCAAATATCATAAAATATAATCTGTCAAGGTTGGTAAAACCTTGTTATCATAAAGTATCTACTGAAATTGTGAAATGAACTATTTTTCATGGATAAAGAATTGCAACAATGTGATTGCTTTTGACAACAGAAGTTTACTCTCTGAGATCCAGAAGTATTTCACCAACATTCCATAGGAATAGCCTCCAAACCCCCCTAAAGCCTAGATCATACTTGGTAGATGAGTCTGATCTGGTACACTCACAATTTCTAGCCACGCTGACTTCCTTGCTAATCTCTGGCACTTAATCTTCCTTGGGGCCTTTGCACTTGCTGTCCCTCTCTCCCTGAGAAAGTCTTGCTCATAACTTTTGTATGGTTGCTTTCTTCTGGTCATCTAGTCCTTAGACTGCATGTTATCTACACACTAAATTACCTACTTCTTATAATTATTTATAATTTGTCTGTTTTATTTTCTTTATAATACTTAACCTAATCTGAAAATAATCTTAAAGTTTTCTTTGTATATTTTATATCCTCCCCACCAAAAAAAAATTCTCAAAGGCAATAGCACAGCTGGTAGGGTATTTACTTTCCATGTGGCTGATCCAGGTTCTGTCCTGGCATCACACATGGTCCCCATACACTGTTAGAAGTAATTCCTTATTGGGGGTCCAGAAGTAATATCACTGAGTATGGCCTCAAAACAAAAGAACTGCGGGGTGAGGGTGATGTTAAGGGGAGAGGAAGAAGGACAAAGACAGCTACCTCATCTTTGTGAAATGCTTTCTCTACAAGAAACATCAAGACCTTGGTATGTCTCATATTTTCTAAATTTGGAAAATAGCAGCTATAACAATACAGTTGAAAGAAGGATAAGTGATTTCAAAATGTAAGAGTCTTGGACCACGAATGCAGCTTACCAATAAGCCCTTGCCTTGTCTGTGTAAGACCTTGGGTTCTATTGCTAGCCAAATCTATAAATAAACAAATAAACAAATGAGAAATCTTTGGGAATGTGATTTAGGAGCTGACATTTTAGCAAGCTTCCCTGATTCTTTTGCACATTTTAAGTTTGACAATTGATCATTTAAAGTGTAGTTATCAGGGCTGGGAAGAGAACTCTACATGCTGGAGGACTTGCCTTGC